GGATAAATGTGTGCAAAATTTGAACAGCACCATCCATCCATTATCTATACCTGCTTCTTCCTTTCAGGGTCATGGGGGTCACTAGTGCCCATATCCAGCAGTCACAGTGTAAGGGGCAGGGTACACCCTGGACAGGTCTCCAGTCCATCACAGGGCCACACATAGAGACAAACGAGACAAACAACCATTCACTCTCTCACTCACACCTAGGGAGAATTTAGAGTTATCAATTAACCTAACAGTCATGGTTTTGGTGTGTAGGAGGAAGCCGGAGTACCTGGAGAGAACCCACACATGCTTGGAGAGAACATGCAAACTCTACCCAGAAAGGTCCCCGTGCCGGGATTTGATCTGGCCAAAGCATGTACAAAGTATAATCAATCTTAAACAGTGAAACCCATTCATTTAAAAACAATGAGAAATCCAAAATGATATTTTCTATCATACATTTTCTATCATATATTCTTTTAAGAAAATGTTCTAACAATCATCATGACCATTTTTGGTTTCATAGCCACAACAACCTCCCCAAGGTTGTTGACATAGGTCCAAATTCAGGAATCATTCTTCAAGATCAACCAAGTTTGTTAATCACAAACTTCCATTTTTACACTCAAATAGTAGTTGTAAGATTTGACCCTGAGATTGTACACCAACAGTGACTATCTAAGCAGTGCAGGAGTTTGGTTTGCATTGCCGGTAGTAAGTCGGACCCCTTCAGAGTGAGAGTTGAACTCCGCCAGGGATGATGTGGTTCTGTTGGTGTCATCGTGCCAGGATCTTCAGTTGTCACTGGAGCGGTTCACAGCTGAGTGTGAAGCGGCTGGGATGAGGATCAGCACCTCCAAATCTGAGTCCATGGTCCTCAGTCAGAAAAGGGTGGATTGCACTCTTCAGTTCTGCCTCAAGTAGAGGAGTTCAGGTATCTTGGGGTCTTGTTCACGAGTGAGGGAAAAATGGAGCGTGAGATTGATAGACGGATCGGTGCAGCTTCTGCAGTTTTGTAGACTCTGTACCGATCTGTTGTGGTGAAGAGGGAGCTGAGCAAAAAGCTTGTCTTTTTACCGATCAGTCTATGTTCCTACCAGAGGTGATTGCTCTGAGACTGCAAGAGAAGCTCAGCTTCCCCTAAAATTTCAAAAACAAGTGATCAAATATATACTGTTGTGTGTACATGTCATTGACTAAATATGCGCTACAACGCACTCAACTTTGTCCCGCCCATCGGACGCTCGGCGTCATGTTCTTTGTTAAAAATGACTAGCAACAAATCAAGCTTCTATTTCTGGTGTTTGTTTTTTTTTTTTGTTTGTTTGTTTGTTTGTAGCTGCTTGTGTTTGGAGACTGACTTCTATCACTCTTTCTGACTTCTATCACAGTTTCTGTCCAGCGGTTGTTGCTGAGCCCCTCCACCATCACAAAGCACTCACAGGCGGACACACTTCACTCTAGCCTCGCGCCAGTAGCAAGCTGCACATAATGGCAGACAGTTTGAATGTTTTGGACCAGATTTTGGTGAAGCCATTTGAAAGTCTTCCTTATGAAGATAAACTTAGAGTTAAACAGCAGGGCTGATCAACTCCTCAGATTAATTTGGTGCAAAAGGTAGGGAAAAATAACAGATCTTTTCAGCTGTCCTGGTATGACAAAGTGAGCTGTCTGACTGGAAGTGCTGTAAAATGATCTGTGACCTGGTTTCCCAACAGGTTATTAAGGGTAGTGCAAGACATAAATAGTTGTCACKCTTTCTGTTTTTCTCCTAACGACTTGCTGCACTTTTTTAATAAGCAAACACTTGACATAATTTAACACAWTGGATGCCTCCCAGCAAAAAGGTTGCCGGATCAAATCCCGGCCCGGGGACCTTTCTGGGTAGAGTTTGCATGTTCTCTCCGTGAATGCGTGGGTTCTCTCCGGGTTCTCCGGCTTTCTCCCACAGACCAAAAACATGACTGTTAGGTTAACTGGTAACTCTAAATTGTCCCTAGGTGTGAGTGAGAGAGTGAATGGTTGTTTGTGTCGTTTGTCTCTTTGTGTCCCTGTGATGGACTGGAGACCTGTCCAGGGTGTACTCGCCCCTCACACTGTGACTGCTGGATATGGGCACCAGTGACCCTGAAAGGAAGAAGCAGGTATAGATAATGGATGGATGGTGCTGTTCAAATTTTGCACACATTTATCCTGATTCTTTCATTTTTACATTAAATTAAGCTTACTGTAAAAATTAATCCCAATGCAACATAATCCTGGTTTATGAAAAAAATGTGTTCTAGGCTTTGCTTGAAGAGGCAGGTGATCGACCTGATCGAGGAGGGTTACACCTCAGAACAACTGGACGCTCAGCCTGTTGTCACAGCAGAAGAATGGTAGGACTGCATGTGCTTGCTCTCTGCCCACAAACAGCATGGCATACTAATGTGAAGGTATYTCCACAGGTACTGTGGAAGAACAGATTGTGGCTGCACATATCAGATTACTGTCTGTCTGCTGGGCGAGAATCATGACATCATTCAGGAGTTCAAACCTGACTCAGTGGAACTGGACCCACAGCAAGACTGCTCATGGAAACAGGTTTTTTAAATCTCTTTTTTCCTTTATGGACAAAAATCGGAATAACAACAATTTAAAAAGAAAATGTCTAAAACAAAGTGGTGGTGGTGGGGGGAGGGATGCTGTCTGCCTATTTATTAAATCATTTACTTTTGTAAAACGATTCATTTACCAATTGTAAAATCACATCAAAGTTTCCCCCTAAAGACAACAAGAGAGTTGCAGCTGTACTTAACCATAGTTTTTATTGTGTTAAAGAAAACTGTGTAATTCTCCGGGGTGTGTGTG